GTTTATACATAGGTACCTGTATAATGTATCCACTACAGTAGGCCACTAGAGTAGAGTTATAACTACACTAGTGTACCTGTTGCTCGAAATCGAGCAATTGGAAAGAAGTACAGGAGTTATTTATAAACAAATAACTTGTTTAAAAACTAATAACAGTAATAATTTCCGATTATTTTAAAAGAGTCAATTAAAAGATTATTAACTAATGGAAATACTCACAATTTACACAACAGTCCTATTCCAGTTTGAAGGGTAAATTTATAACAATCAAACTGCCCATGGATTGGAAAAGGTAAGCTTACAATTTAAGTCAACGTAAAAAGGCTGTCAGCTTTTATAAAGTACCGTACCTAAATTATTTAGCCAATTTGTAGACGATAAGGTGTAGAATGCTTTAAACTCTACAGAATAGAGTTAGACAAAAACTGGCAGAACTCTGAAATAGTGTTATTTATCATAGGCTTACTCATATGCCAAATCCTTAAAATAAAAATTCTATAATTAATTATATAACATCATTAAATACGAACCAACATCCAAAACTGTACACATTTTTAATACAACATAGATAATTTACACATTGACTGTTTACAATTAACATATGTTCTTCTTCTTTTTACTTTGAATGTTTGCTTCGCAATGGTAAAAATCTGTTTCATAATCATTGAAATAGATTTGTAATAAATAATCTATCATAAAGTCGATTGCTTATTATCGAAGCTTACACCAACTGTGTTTACAACAACTGATTTTAACTATCTAGGGACTTAAAATGGTATTTACTCCCTATGGAGTAAATGAGCTACTTAAGACTAGCATGAAAAAGTTGAATATAGGTTTGAAGGGAATACCCCTAAAAACGGTTCTATAAAACAAAAACAAATCAAAATCAAATGTCTTGTGTTACAATTTCAAGGTATTTCAGGTATGTTGCTGGATATTTGGCGAAGATTTGCTTGAAGAAATTCTCATGTGAAGAATGCAGCCGAGAGCTTACAACAGGTGCCCAGCTCAGTGACGAAAATGAGCTGCTGATTCTTCACAGGAGTTATTCCACAAAAGATGGAACGAGCCATCTGACTGCTCCATCCAAGGAAATGGCATCCGTAACAGACGTCATGCTTTTTTCTTTTAAAGAAAACTTTCAAAAAATGAAGCATATAGTTGGGGTCAAGTCATCCTTGATGTCTTCAATCAAAAAGGACATTATGAAGAAACATAGAGAATGGCTAAAACTAGAGTCTACTTGCAGGGAGCATCGCGACTTCGTAGTCAACTTCCTTGTGCGTTTGAAAATTATAAAAACTGTGCTGTGGACGTCCCGTAGCTTAAGAATGGCCCGCTACGGAAAATCTACTACAAAATCAGTACCACATCAACGTAAACTAAAAAATTTGCAACACTTGTAAACTTTGTTCAAGAGCTTCTTGTCATACACGCATATCTCAAAACTACTTAACCTTAGATCAATGAATGAAGGCCAATAACTATTTTGTATTATTTATTACTTGAGTATATTTTGCACATTGGTGCATCTTGTAAACTAGTTTTAATTCACAACATTCGTTTATTTAATCATTCAGCTGGTTTCATTATTTTTTAAATATCGCGATTATTCTATGGTGTAAATTATATAGTATTTTTCCCATGACATTTATGTTTAGTAAGCTGTTTCGTTTTCCTTATTTAGTTTACTGTATACCTTGTAAACTCTAGCATTTTAACATTACATACGTTTCGTAAGCAGGTTCGTTGCGTTTTAATATCGTGGTTATTGTATAGTGTAATTTGTTTTATTAAGTTCATGAAAAACGTTTAGTGAGTCTTTTCGTGTATTGTTTAATATCGTGATTATCCTATGGTGTAAATTTTAGTATTTTGTGCATAACTTGTGCTTAGTTAGCTGTTTGTATTTTTTTTGGTTTTTTTTTTGTTACTGTTTCCCTAGTAAACTGTAAGTTGTTGTATATATATACACGTTTCGTTATTAGCCTTTTTTTTAGATTCGGTATCACGGTTAATCTATTGTGTAAATTATAGTATTTTTTACACGATATACGTTTAGTTAGCAAATTCGTTGTTTTGCTATATTTTTTCGTTTACTGTATGACTTGTACATTCTTTGTAGAATCATTGTAGTTTTTGGTCCATGACGTACGTTTAGTAAGCGGATTTGTTTCTTTTTTGGTATTTCGTTTACTGTATAAGTTACCTTGTAAACTGTATTTTTTGTACAATACGTATTTCTTTGGTTACCCGTTGTTCTTTAAATACGTATTCAGATTATTCAGGAGTGTATTTTTTTTTCAATGGCATACGTAGACTTACCGGTTTGATTTATATTGTCTTTTTTTACATTACTATTTCCATATGATTAGTCAGCTGTTCGTTTTTGTGCATTACCATTTCCATATGTTTAGTCTGCTGTTCCGTTGTTTTTTTAAAGCGATTATTCTGGGCCTACTAGTAGGGTGTAAACTATAGTATTTTGTTCATGTAATACTTTGAGTTAGATATTTCATTTTTTCATTGCTTTTTGCTAGGTTAAAAACGTCGTATTTGTTGATGAATTTGTTTGTTTAGCCGTATTTTCCTTCTTCCTTGTTTTATAACGCATTTTAATACCAAATTATTAATGGTAAGTAATTATTTGATGTAATAGGAAAATTGTTTTTACAAGATTTGTTCATATTTTTCTTTTCGTCATTATTCTATTATGCCTTTAAAGTATTTATAGTAAAATTCTTATAGCAATATGTATTTTTCAATTCATAACTTTGTATTGAGCCTCGATTTTGTTTGATTTATAATGTATTTATTTGTTGGTATACTTGATTAGCAAGTTTATTATATCAAGCCAATTTTACAAAGATTTTTAAAGATAAGGCTCTGTAAATACCTTTGTAGTTGTACACTCGTACTGTCAACCAGTTCATATGAAGTAATGGTATAAAGATTTTTAAAAATTAAAGTGTCTGTCGATACCCTTGTACTTGTACTCTTGTAGTTACAACCAGTTTATATGAAGTTAATGGTATAAAGATAAAAAAAATTAAACTGCCTGTACATACTCTTTTACTTGTACTCTTGTAGGCCTAGTGTAAAGCCGAATCATAACTATGCATATTTTTGAAACGTTCTTCCCTCGTAGAATAAAGTGAAAGTAGTGCGTGTTATGTCACCGAGGAAGAATATGTAGCCTACAGTGGTTTGGGAATCAGGGGTGTACGACTTAACCGATGGTACCAGACAAATAATAAGGCGTAAAAACAAACACTGAAATAATGTTATAACACTTACCATATTAAAATTCTGGTAAATATTTTCAGTTAAAACTTAAAGTAATAAAGAAATTTAGGATTTATGTTATAGAATTTTGTTAAATAAGCAGTGCATATGCATTATCGTACGTGTTCTTAGTTTTAAGTTTATTATATTATGTAGAGAATATGTAAACCCACAACAGAAATAAAACAAACTTAGTTGTAATATTAATATAATAAACTATCGGTTAAACGATAAAAATGGTTTGCTATAAAGTTGATCAGAATTGTACGTAAAAAGAAAGGCAACATTTTTTTACAAACCTTTGTAATTTGATGTGAGTTTAAAATCATGATAGACCTTCAAGTAAGTGAATCATATACAGAAAAAATAAATAAATTGGGATTCCTGTATAGCCTACAATTAATTGTAGCATTACAATATTGACAAATAACTTTTTAATTGCGTAATGTATGGATAAAATTATGTTATATGTGTTAGAGGCAGTTGTTGCCGTTCGTGTTCATTGCATTCGCTTTGTAGAGACAGCTCGACCGGTGAGGGAGAGGCCGGTTGCTGTGGGAAGTGACGATGAGTAGGGGGGGGGAGACTGACGCGCGAGCGCGGTGCAGGCTACCTTAAAGCAGCGTGTCTCAACGCAGACTGAGCTCAGCGGCGTACTGCATTACCATTGACTACCACGACCCAAGCGTCAGCGGCCCGAACTACGTCGTCAAAAGCGGGTACCGACTAACAGTATAGCGGTGGGCTCTCTAGGTTAGGTTTATACTCAATGATAATATGTATTTGTTCAATAAATACATACAATATAATATTCAAAATTCAGTTATACATAACTTTCCAAAATACGTTATGTACATCCAACCTTTATTTTTAATTTTGTTGTATTACTTTTGCCTTGGAACCTGTGGCGCCCCCCTGACTGCGGCGCCCGGGGCTGTCGCACTGGTCGCCCCACCCATGCGACGGCCCTGATTTTATGTTTGGAGATTTGTCTAAATTGAAAAGGCCTAGGAGCAGTTGACGAGCTGTCAGAAAGATAGGGATCAGATTTAGGCATACTAGTGTTATTAATTATTGTTATTGACATAAAACAATGATCTGAAATTAAATTGGTATACCAAGAACCTTTAGATGACAATTTACTGGTGTTATGTCTGTAAAAATATAGTCTAGGCATTCATTACCTCTAGTGGGCAAAGAATTTGAAGAATATAGACCCTCTGATCTACAGATATTATGTAATGTGGCTGTATTTATATCACTACTATTGGCTTCAATGTTCCTAAAGTCACCACACAGAACAATTTTAGATTTGTAGTGGGCCAATACACTGAGTATCACTTCCAGTTGTTCGAAGAATATGCTAACACTGCCATCACAGGGCCTATAGAGAGACATATGACTATCATCTTTGATTTAGGTAATTTTACAGCATAGGCCTCAAAATGCATTTCAACACAGTGCGGTTCAATATCAATGACCCGATAATCTAAACTCAAGTTAGTGTAAATATCAGCTCCACCATGGATGTGTTGCTTACAAAGGTAAATGTTGGCGAGTTGATAACCTTCAAAGTTATATAGGTTATAGTTATCAGCGTTTAGCCTGTGCTCGACCACACAAATTACTTGTGGCTTGTGTTCACCTTTTTATAGGATTGTTCATTAAAAAACTTGATAAATTTGGAGGACTGATGTTCAATGTTTGTGTAGAAACAATCTGGGCAACAACAGTGGCCACTTGTCAAGAGGTTCAACAGCTGAGCTCTAGTGAGACGACACAACTGTTACGAGAGCTGCAGTGGCGGCAGATCTTCACCTCGCACACCAAGTACCTGTTCCAACACATTGTAGAGCATCAACACGCCAAGTCACCGAGCTCTACAAGGCTAACCTCCTTGTCTTTATCTCCGATGTCTCCGTTACCAGCCCTTACGCCTTGACTACCCAACGCACACAATGTGTACTCTACGAAAATACTAAACCCTACCAAATAGTCAAGTTTCTCTATTTCACAATTTATAAAGGAACTAAGAATCTTACCCATATTGTTGTGAAGTATCACTTCCGCTATTGTGTTCCACACAAACTGTTAGTCAAAAAAGTTTCATACAAAATAATCTTCACAAATAGTCTCAGGATTTTTGCATTAGAAATTATGTAGAGGGTCGACACAACGTCTGAAAAAGTCCTCTCTAACTTAAAAATGAACAATATTTTAGTAGAAATGAACTTGATCAAAATAGAGAACTTGGGCCATTTTTTTAAGCCAGGTATTTTGGGTGCAGCCTCAACATTTTAATATGTAAACCTTGTTATAAAGGTATATTAATCCTAAGTGTGATAATAATTGTTAAGTGTTAATCCATTGGCCTAATCATTGTAAATGAGCCGTACATAAATGTTGATGACCATATCGGTCTTAAAATCCCAGAACATGTTCATTTGTTCAATGACCTATTTGCCAAGTGTCCAGTTGTGCAGTAAGAAAGATTTCCATCATGAGAGATAATAATGGTGTTGCCGTGATCGTGGGATTGACCACAGATGTTGCCACCATTGCCGCAGATGATTGTTGCTTTGATTCTAATGTAAACCTCTTTGAAGATAAGCTACAAGTTTTAGAATGTTTTCTAAATAAATAAATAATTGTGAGAATAGCTCTTATAGTAAATTTGATATACTTTCAAATTTAACTTGGATTCAAGATTCAAATTTTTAGGATTCAATTAGACATATAAAATTCCTGGATTTGATCATCGCTTTAATGTTTGACATAACGACAATGAACCAAAACCAATGACCATGAGCAATGATCAATGTACAAAAATGTTTATATAGATAATAGTTTTTTTTTTTTTTTTTATTAGAATTAATTTAGTGTCTTCAATGCATTCTAGTGTACAAGTACAAGTTCCTAAATAAGTGACATTTTATTTTTTAAAGGAATTTTGATCTATTAATTTAAGGACCTAATAAATTTGACCTAAATATTAATTTGTAACCTGGTATGGTTCTTGAATTTATTTTTATGGCTTGCTGGCCACCCTGAGTTTGGGTCACATAAACGGGACTCTACTTTAACCCTTCAGACAGTGCTACGTGTATCGCACGGCATTTAGCGGTATGGTAGATGTAGGTCCAGATCCAACTTGCGCTTTAGTTATTTTATTTGTCAAATCCCTTTTCCCGGCCGGTTGACGGTGACACGGTGGCAAAGTTGATTAACATGTTGCACTGATGATTGTGGCCCTGAGGTCCTTTCTACATGCGCCTTTGTTATTCCCATAATTATGCAAATCTTAATGTGTAAGCCTACTAATATGTGGCTTACCCGGTAGGAGGGAACACCTGAGTAAATGGTTTCGGGTTTGGGTTGTTGTTGCCGGAATCAGTGAGTTGGATAGGGGCTGCACGGAACATCTGTTTTGCTATCTTGCTGTTTTACACAAGTACAGCAACAGTTTTATCATAAACTTTGGTTAAATATTATTAATTGAGTTTAAATACATATGCTACATAAGACATCAAACAAAATAACATTGATAAAGAAATTGTAAACCAATCCCGCAGAGGGTTAGGTTATGGTAAGGCTAGTAAGATCAGTCAATGCTGGAACAGTGTAGCCTAAATGTTGACAGTTAGTTTTAAATCCAAACTGTTGTGTTAAAAAAGTTATTATGGTTTAATTTGTTTATTAATTATTTTTTTTTATTCTTCCGAATAGTTCATTATGATGACAAATTGTAACATTTGTAAAGAAGGCCAATGGGTTAACAGGGGTGTGCTCCACTTTGCGGTTAGTCCATTTTGCAGTCACTCCATCTTGCAGTCAAGTGTAAGTTACAGAGGGGGCGAAAGAGTCCTATGGGTGGGGTTACCAGTTTGGGGTCGGATTTCAGATGGTAAAAAACAATACACAACGTTTCAGGATCTGGAATCTGATCCCGAAACGTTGTGTATTGTTTATTACCATCGTGATGGAAAATGTCCGCAATAAACCTTTGAACAACATTCTTAAAGAGTTTTTATTCAGCATGATCATAGTCTCAGACATTCTTGCACCGTATCCTCCAAGCAATTCCTTAGCTTGCCTACATCCTGGACGAGCAGTCCTGCCTTTGGCTCTGGTTACATTTTTGTCTTCCTTGAACGAGTCTTTGAGTGCACATCCTGGTTATGACCCTATGAGGGGGGTAGCTGCTGCCTCTGCCCAAGCAAGCTTATTTGCTTCTTCATTTCCCTAAAGGATATCCAGGTACCCAAAGGAGTGATAACTTGTTGTTCTTTCAGACATTTGCCGGCAATTCCATACCACCTTAGAGCTGATAACTGACGAGCTCAGTGCTCCAGTGACAGCCTGGCTATCTGACAGGATAACAATTTCTCTTTCCTTGTATCCTCTACTTGTTGAATCGGGCACATCTTTCAATAGCCTTAACTTCAGCCTAAAAAATGCTGGGGGAGTGCCCCAACGACTCATTGTACTTGGTTCTTGGCCCAAATACCCCTACTCCGGTCCCCTCATCTTTGGGCCATCAGTATACCACCTGATGACATGATTCCCAAATGATTTTAGGGGTTTTCCATCCCAGCCAAGTTTATTCCCTAGCTCAACAACAAAGTTCTTTTCGAAGCTCTACTTCCTTACCATAGAATCCGTTGGAAGGTACATCAGATCCCTTAGACCTGGCGGGAATAACTAACCACAAACCATGGAGGATATGTTCGTGCCGTTTTTCTCCATTCTAAGTAGACTCTCCCTTGCTATTCTCTCTACCATAATGTGTAGAGGTGTCAGATTCAAAACCACTTCTATGGCCGCGGTTGGACAGGATCTCATGGCTCCTGTGATGATAATGCAGACCAGCCTCTGTACTCTCTCCAGGGCTTTCCTTGTTGTTTCCACCTTGGTCCTGCCAGCCCAAGCTACACACCACACACATACATACTTCCTCTTTTATAGATATAGATAGGTCTCACCAAAAGGGTATACATGCTTTTTAGTATGTATGGGTTACAGCCCCACATCCTCCCAGCGTACCATCTGCATACCATCAAGGCATTAGTGGCTTTGTTGGTCACCTTTTCTATGTGTCTGTTCCACAGTAGTTTCTTGTCAAAGTAGTTTAGTCAACTATTTATTTAGAGAGTGGAGGATATATGATTTTGGTTACATGCTCTTATTGGTGTACACCATACCTATGCGTCACCTGCCTGTCTCGCTTGCTCTGCGTCATCCACCTGGCTTGTTTATTCTAAAGATACAATAAAAAATGTGTGATGGCAAAATGGAAAAATACTTATTGTGCGCGCCATAACATTTTTGGAGGGACCACAAAATGGGCGATATTACTGATCGCAAATTGGACATAACCGGTTTAACTCTTTAACGAGTTGAGTGTACTGAGAACATCAAGCGTAGTTTGATCTTTTCATAGAGTACACACTTACATTGATTAAACAAAGCATTTCAGTTGGGCTCGGTTGGTAATTAGTATTTATAATCGTAAGTAGCTATGTAGTTCCCGGTTTCATTCATTTCAAGGTAGCTAATTTTCAATTAAATTCAAGTTGCTTTTAACAACATATCAGGTATAAATAATATTATTAAAAGCATTTAGAGTGGGGAGTTACCTCTGAAGTGAGTTGTCAAAAGCAACTTGATATAGATTTTTAAGTTTACTGATGCATAACTTGCCTTTGGATTGAGGATTATGTCAATTTTGAAGTATATTAAAATGTAGATCTCTTTTCTTTACATTTTCTTTATCCTCGATCAAAGGTTTTAAACATAATGTTTAAGGCTCTTCCAAACCGAAGCGGGAAAGTGGCGGGAGCGGAAAGGGAGCGAATGACCGGCGGGAACCAGCCGCAGCGATACGTGGCGGGAAAGAGGTAGCCCACACCGAAGCTGCAGGCAGCGGGAAGCGGGACGACTCCTCAGTTCATTTCCATCTTAGCTACAGAGTGTTCGGTTGTGTTAAGTGAATGTTTGTATTTTATGCGTTCATGTCATGAATCGTAATGTACAAGAAGAAGAAGCTTTGTTTTTGCTAGCAACAGCTGAAGATAAGATGCAAGACGGCGATCTGTTTAGGTTCATGAAATCAATCTAAATGGACATTTATTTGGCGAGTACCATACCCTTATGCCGGATCCAAAGAAAGACAAAAGGTGGTTTATATTTATTTTAGGATGACCATCGCGTGTTTTGATGAACTGTTCAATGAACAACGCACTGGAATCATCCTCAGCCATCTTCTCAAACGTCTCGGCACCAAATAAGTCATGTACCCATGTGTTCCAGCGGCGGTACGAGCGGACAACGCTGCGGGACGGCGGGAGCGGTACCGCTCTAGTGTGGGTGCTCACATCTAACACCATGTGTTTTAAAATCCCGCACGGGAACTCGTCCCGCCACCTACCCGCTCCCCGCCGCTTTCCCGCTTCGGTTTGGACGGGCCTTTATGTTTCAAGGTTGATTTGTTCTCTCATTGCGCAATATTGAATTTTTATTTTGTTAATGTATATTAGTGATATTAAGTTTTTTTTTTTTACAAAAGGCTTTGTTTATTGAATGCCACAAGCAATATGTTACATCACATACTCTTTTTGATCTATTTTTAGAGTTTAACATTTTTTTCTGTTAAGCATTTTAGGTTTTTTTTGTTTGATGTTTATTACTTTGTGTTATTGATTGGTGATATTAGTTAACTGATTGTGCAGCTTTTGCCGAATTATGTAAGAAACTTAACACCTTAAATAATTCATTTGGATTCTGTATTTGATAAGTGTGTTAATTAAAACTTGTATGTGGGGATGTGTTTGGTATAAAAACAATTACACTGCTTGCTAAGATTTACATAATTAGTTGCCTTATATTGTTAGCCTAGTTGTTTTGGATTTCATGTCCATTCTTTTTAGAAAATTTCCCTATAAGGAATAAGCTATATTACATTTTATTGTTAAATTTGCCTGCATTTAAAAATAAATTATGAGAATATGTGTGTTATTAAAAAGTTTTTGAAAATATGCCTCTGTTGTTAAGTTTTTTTAAAATATATTTAGCTTTGACTGTTGATTGTAAGAGAAAACATTTGTGTCTGTTTACTGTATGTTATTAAATGTAACTGTTTCTTGTTGTAAACTACTGGGTGATTTAACAGTGTTGATTCTTGTATGTCATGGTAAAGGTTTCAAGTAAGAGAAGCTATATAAGTTTGAAACTTTGTAAAATTTAATACAGTGCCTAAAATTTACTGTGTTTGTTTGTATTTCATTGCAAGTAATAGCCTTCTAAAGTTATTAAGGACGTGAATATCTAAGTAACGAGATTTTGAATGTACAGAATTGAATACTTGTTGAATACATTGAACCTTTTATCTACCTTGCAGAGTTTTTTAAAATATCTTGTAGGCTTGTCTAAAGAAAGTTAGTACTTCCAGTGACGTGGGTGGGTGTATGTATCTATTGTATACTTTCAGAACTCTAAACATATCCTGTATTCCTGTGGTAATTTTATGGAATCATTCAAATCTTAGTCCATCTTCACTTGTGATCTTTTACAGTGCATATTGTATAAGAGTATTATGGCAAATTATAATACCTATTTAAAATTAAGTATTAAGATCTTGTAACATTATGTACAAAGCGATAAAACATGTATACTATTCAGTAGAGGACAGTATAAGTGCTACATTATGTAGCTGATGATGAGTGATTCTTTCACTTAATGTACATATTTTTTGTCAGTATTATTATTTTTTGTTTATTTTAAAGAGAATATTTTTATTTTATGTTGTGAGTGTATTTTGTTTTTGTGTTTGTGATTTTGTTTGTCAATTTTGCTATTTGTAATCCTTTTTTGTACTATCATAACATGTTATATTTTTTTAACATTGGCATTTTCATTACTTCAACGTTAATAACAGTATTACATATTTTCTAGTATTAAAGTATAATAAAACATTAGGTTAGGAAAATAACGTTAAACATGTTAATCCATCGAACATCTGTACAAGCTAAAAGTGTCTTTTAAATATGTATGATCCCTCAATTAGTTTTTCATAGCTCACCTTACTTTTGCTTTTGATTAATTCTTTTCTTACTATCTCGGTCCTTGATTTGGTTTTCCAGCAATAACTTATCTCTATCTTGCATTTACTTCTGCAAAATAACATTTGCATTACTATTGTAATCTTATCATTTTGTGTTGTGGTGCGTGTATTAGGTATTAGTTTAACATAGATCTTAGTCGTTCCACCGAGGATTCTAACAATGATTTAAGTTATTACACATAATGATACTACAAAAACTTGCACAACATTTTATTTAAGACTATTAGTTGTGTTAATAGATATTACGTTGGATGTTTAGTTGCCTCGGATAATATTACTCAGATCATAATAGAAAGTATTTTAATGAGTGCAGTTCAACTGATAGTAGTTGAGATCGCATTTGAAGAGTTAAATCAACAGTATAAATAAATGTGAAAATATTTTTTTATTTTAGATACTTTATATTGTCAACTGTTCTAGGAATGGTATCTCGTGCCTGTTGTTAAAACATATTTTTGTAGTAAAGTCAACGTTTGTTGGTTTAACATACAGTGTTATAGTTTTTTATTCTAATTAGTATTCCTTAAAAGTATTTTTTCATCTTAATTAACTTAAAAAAATTATTGAAATTGTAACATAAAAAGATAAATTGCATAGTGCCTTAGGCTATATAAGTGTTTTTGTAATTACAGTATGTGGTTTTATAATTTTCTATTCTGGAGAAATAGCTTAGATTGAGACTTTTTCACCTAACTTGTATTACTAACTGATACGAGATGTGTAACATAGTTTGATGAGGAATAGTACTAGTTACCGATCATGTCAAATGTGTTATATTAGTTTTTGCCCTACTTACTCATTTCATTAAACTAAACTAAACACTGTTTGCTATTGATAATTTTGGTGGTTTAATTTTTAATAGGTTGTTGCTAATTAGGTATCACAGACTTTTGTTTTTCACTTTTCTTAAGGTATGTTTATGAACATTGAACATCTTTACCAGTTGTATTTGGTGTAAAATCAATTATTTTCAAATGTGGTTAAATGTTCTCCATCAAACAACTATTGTTACTGGTGTTTGCTATTTAATTTAGTTTGTTTGGATCTGATTAGCTAGGTACGGTACAGTACGATCTTGATAATTTGACAATTGACAGCCGACACGTTTGGCAAACCGACAAGCTTGTTATGGACCTTTTGCTGTTAAGCGGGGAAATGTTTTACAGTAGCAAAAGATTTTTCTTGGTTTTTAGCGAATTTCCTTATAGGGAAGTAGCTATTACTGTAGGTGGCACGGTAAGACCTGAAGCCGGGACCAATATACTTTTTCATTTTTATGTCCCTAGAGGCCAAAAACACTATTCGTTCATATCTTTATATATGAATATATATATCCGTGTTTGAAGGTGTAAGGCGAAATAAACTAGAATGAGTTTGCAAACCAGCATGATCCGACCATGGTATCAGGGTTTTACAGGGTAAAAATTGGGTTTTCTCATTTTTGACCCTCAAAACAGAAAATTTCCCAATTTCTCTTTGAACCATTTTAAAGAACTTAAAAAACAAATAATTTAGTACAGTATACGAAAGTTTTTTTGTACGGTTATTGGTTACTGGGAAAATTAAAAAATTGCTAATTTAAAATTCCTATGTTATTCTTATGGAGAATTTTTTTTAATGTAGTTTGCTTGTTTATGGAAATATTTTGATCAAGCTTGGCAAATTTATATATTCTATACTAAGCTACTAATATTTTACTAAAAACTCACTTTATTAGCCTCCCTGTAGCAGTAAACTTAGTTACCAGTTAAACCTGTTATTTAAATAGATTTGATTTAAAATCAATTCAGGGAAATGGAAATTCGCTTAGTCTGCAGGTTTGCTGAGGCGGCGGGGTAGTGATGTGCGATACGGGTCAATGTATCGATACTACGTATCGGAACGTGGTGTATCGTATCGTATCCTCATGTATCGATTTTTATCTGTATCGGATAAAATATCGTATCGTATTGTTTATTTATAATATAAAAAAAATAAAGATCTCAAATATACAAGCTGCATAGACAAATATTATGTTACTTACAAGCTTGTAAAGAGGGTTAGTGCTTGTATCTTACCTCAGAAAAGCCGTTTCCTACCTGTGTCTTTATTTAGTATCAAACATACATACATAACCTCCAAATTCCAGTAAACCCTCAAAATTGGAAAACATTTTGTTATTGTTTTCCTAGTTTTTACACAGGGATAATTAATTGAACCATAAAGTACTAATAATGGGAGCGTTTCATAAACTCCAAATTTCACAAACTCCAACGCTTAAAATATTAAATAAACAGAGTGGTTCATAACCTCCAATTTTCATAAGCTCCAAATCTATAACATTCAAATAATCACTGTTTCACAATGTCCAAATTTCACAAACTCCAACGTTAAGATACCAAATAAACAGTGCGGTTCATAATGTCCAAATTTCATAACCTCCAACGGTACAGTCTGAGCCAGAAGTCTCTACAGTGGTTGACAATTTCCGAAATTACAATCGGGGAAGCATTTATATCAAAGAATTTTGTTAACTATAGACTACCGGTAAGCATTAAAATGCACAAACATACGCCTGTAAATTAAGTTACCATTCTTCGTAATGTAATGACATATTTGATGTAATACAGTATAATGATAAGTAAATGCTAGAAACTCAGTTTCTATATCCCGTAAACTGATGCTGAGCCGGCCAAACTCCTAGCGCCAATGCCGCGCCAAGCGACTTTATGCCTATTTTTAATCGCTTAAAAATGATACAAGCAGGCTCCGTATCAAAAAAAGCTTCAAATAAAAAATAAAATTCATACTTTGATCTAAAACTTTGCCGCAGGAATTTTTTCCCTGACCAAAAAATAAAAAAGTTCCTCGCTTACTACATTTTTCATGTTTTTTATGGTGTTAAAAAACAATCATCTGTTTTAATTTGCCTAAATAAATTATAAAAATTATGTTAAGGTAAAAACTAGCTACATAGTAATGAGCACTGGTTTTTCCAGAAAAATAATATATTAATTTGAAATTTGTATGTTAACAAATAAGTGTAGCAGAGCAGGTTGAGTGAATGTATGTTTGTGTAAAACAGAAAGGTTCATTCGGCCCGTCCGCCTCGGTATCCCGGCAATTCGATTGACTTATGGCAGAGACTGTACCGTTGGAGCTTATGAAACTTGGAGGTTATGAACCGCTCTGTTAATTTGATATTTAAAAGTTGGAGTTTGTGAAATTTGGACATTGTGAAACTGTGCTTATTTGAAAGTTATAGTTTTGGAGTTTATGAAGTTTGGAGGTTATGAAACACACTGTTTATTTAATATTTTAGACGTTGGAGTTTGTGAAATTTGGACATTATGAACCTCACCCCTAATAATGATGGTGGGTATGTCACTTACTCATTAAATAGTATACCGTAATATGGATAATGAGGGTCCCCACTTCCATTAATGGTGGCCCTAGTATTGAGGTTATTTGCAAAACATAGCTGAAAATACATGTTTTATCAGTGTTTTTGAAGATGCTTGGGTAAAATATCAAATTTCCACTACTAATTTTGAGGGGAGGAAGATGGGAAGACAAATTTCTTACCATAAAAATAAGATTTATATTAATAAATAATCAATATGATATTCGATACGATATTGGCTATTGGTGTATCGATACGGGCATATCGATACAAAATATCGGTATTTTGCGGTCCTTGTATCGATACGCACATCACTATTCACTACGGCGGGGGCATTTTAATGTGTATTGCTTTTTATGACAGTTGTTTTTTGTATCAAGTATACATTGACGATTTTAAGTTAAACCTATGTATCGTCTTTAAAATATTGTAAATATCATGAAACAATGCCATTATATTTTCATAAAAGAGGATTTTTGTATATTTTTATCCATCTGGCCATGGATATTAAGTATTATACCCATGGTAATCACAAATTCTTGTCAATTCGACTTTTAGTCCTATATCTGTCAGGATATCAATATCAGCCTGTATCTGCTCAGTTAAGATCAGGGACAATAGCTTTTTTTCTTTCATCATATTTATTTGTGGAAATCTTTAAAATGAAATGAGTGAGTTGGGGAAATGAAATATGACCAGTATTTACTTACTACTTGCCTTTCAGATCTGTTCTGTTCTTCCATGTGAATCTGGTTTTGTGTATTAGTTTGTGGAAATTGAGCTCTCTGAGCTATTTTTGGTTTCATTGAATTATGGTCTTTGCCAGATTGTGCTGTTGTTAGCTCAGATTTATTTTACCTCTCTCTTGCAAAACCTTTTTCGTGTGGAAGACTTATTTTATTCAACTTGAATGTCTGCATAAATCTTAGCTGATGTTATGGTCATTGTGTTTTTATAGGTTAAAAGAGAATTGTAACTAGCCTATTTAGTATTATGATAGCTACTTAAATAAAGCAACCATTGTGAACAACTAAATGTCTTTTTTTTATCCATTTACATACAACAGTTTCCTACCAAGCCAGTCGTTCCTATATGAAATAGGAAACATTTGTATAAATGGAAATGCCTCCTACACTGTGCCATTTTCAGTGAAGTGGTGCAGTGGCACTCCATCAGGAGTGACACCATTAATATGTTTCGACATATATTAGTGGCGTCAGTTGTGGTGATCCGCCATCTGTACTGACACTGACGCATCACTTCTTGTGGCCCTTTTGAATATACTTTCAAAATGTATGAATGGTGAGGATAGTAAAACACGGTAAAGTGACCATTCATTGAAAAACTGCCTACATCTATTATATATATACAGGGTGTCCGGTCATAAGTGTTAAATCAAATTTGGCATCAAACTACATGGTAATTGCGACATAATGACGCACATTTGAGGTTCCCAACATCAACCGTTAGAGAATAACAAATAAATTAAGATTTTCCAAAAATTATTGTAGTTTGTTATGAAAAAGGTTATATGACTCTGTTAAAAATGCTCTAATTGTTGATTTAAATGTCATTTTCGGAATCCTCACAACATTTTTAATAGATATAACCCATAATCGTTTGGGTAGGGAAAAATATTCTATTTAAATTTCTTCGTTAAACAAGTTATTTTTAATATCGACAAAAATTTAAATAGCATTTAGTAAATTATTTCTTGGTTGTTGAGTTCCACTGAGTTTATCAAATATTAATAAAAACTTCCTTATTTAACGGGCTTTACAATGGTGTATAATAGTTTTTACCTAATTTCAAATTTCCTAATGAATGAAATGAAAAAGTGCTTTATTGTGCAATTTAGAACATAAATACATTTTTACACAGACACATAAAAACAATGGTTAATAACCGTCTGTTTTGTTGGCACTAGAGTTGTTCCATTACTTAAGATTAGAATAGTAGGCCTATTGAGCACTAAAAAGATTTATTAATATTTCTGAAATAAAGACATAAGAGAAAAGATATAAGAGAGAAAAAATATTATTACATAAGTGATAAAAAACAAAAACATACTGATCCTAACTTATCTGTAGACGAGTTTCATATACAATTATTTAGGTTCAAAAGTTAAATTCTGTCACTATCTCCCATCTATACTTCCAAGTGTTTTCTAGATAACTAGCTAAAGCTCGCCAATTCCTCCCATTTATAAATTGATGGTATTCTATTTCGTTTAAAAAAAGTTTTCCCAGCCACAAATGTCTTATGTGTTTTAAAATCGGACAAAGTGCAATAAAATGATAGACTGTTTCATTTTCATTTAGGTTACATAAAGAACATCTATAATTTTGATTGAGCCAAGGCTTGTAGTTCAGGTTCAGGTCAAATTTCCTAATGTAATTGAATCATTTTTGTGAAAAAACATGGCAGGGCAAAGAAAAGTTATAATACATTTAAGCGCAGGTGACAAATAATTTGTATTTTTTTTCTCGCATGCAACGCTTTGTTTATAGCTTTACTATCAAGCTAAGAAAAGAAACATAGTAGTAAAATGTGTTTGTGATAAAGTTACGGTTATCGTATATTTTTCATATAAGATTTCAATTATCTCCCGGAATTTCTATTTTGTTGAATGGACTTAGTCAGATTCAGGTACTTTACTTGATCACAATACTTTATCCAAGCGATAAGAAAACAAAGCGTACCGGTAGTCATATTTTAAAAAGATCTATCAGTCACATGTGAACAGTGATCGGTCAACGATTTTTTTTTTCGATTCGGGAGTATGTTGAAATGCATTTTATTTATGGTTTGTGTAACGGTAATGCGTCGGGGAGAGAATCTTTGAGGCTGCTGGGAAAATAAGGGAAAAATTGACGTATGAGGTCACAGTTGGCGCAATTCGCAAACGGGCTAGGGCCTGCTTGTGGGAAAACGGAGGGCACTTAACACCCAAACTGTGATTTGTCCTTCGTACAAAGTATATCATTGATTTGTTTAATGTGTTAACTATCCTTTCATATTAAAATATCTGTTTTAGCTTATAACCGTGATATTTCACAATAGTGTGTAAAATTCACTATGGATTTGACAGCAGGAAAAGTTGTTATACATCATTGTAAAGCCCTTTAAATAAGGAAGTTTTTAGTCATATTTTATAACCTCGCTGGAACTCGGCAACCGAGAAATGAATTGCTGAAAGTTATTTACATTTTCGTCGATATAAAAAATAATTTGTTTAATAAAGAAATTTAGGTAGAATATTTTTCCGTTCCCCAATGATTATGTGTTATATCTATTTAAAACTGTCTGAGGATTCTGAAAATTAGATTGAAATTGACAGTAAGTGCATTTTTAACAGAGTAAAATAACCTTTTTCATAACAACTACAATATTTTTTGAAAAATCTTAATTTATTTGTTATTCTCTTACTGTTAAATTTGTGACATTCCGTCACCATTACCATGTAGTTTCATGCTAAAATGTATTTAACACTTATGACCGGACACCCTGTATATAATACGTTAAGCCATTTTTAGACTGATTTTGGTTATTAAAGTGTATAAAAAATGGCCCTGATCTGTAGTTTTGTAAAGTGGTTTTCATTATTAGTTGGGCAGGATCTTCAATCAAAGTTGGGTTTTCTCCCTTAAGGTTAAAATGGGAGAATCTATATTTTTAATTGGAAACTTTGTCTCCACTAATTTAAGAGAACGGCTGGGCGTAGAAGCTTGGTTGGTAAATTCCCTCGAGGCTCTACCCCAGCAACCTTTAAAGTTACCTCCCCAGATTTGTTTACATTACGGCCAAATGGAACAGCTGTTAATGTTTAAATTGTTGGGCGAAGCTCTTATTCGTCAACTCTTATGAATTTCGTAATACGGAAACTCCTAGACGGTTGAAGCCAGTGGCGGCGATAAGAGCCCGCGCCCCCACCCCCCCCCCCCCCCCCCCCACCGCAAGTTTATTCACCGGGCCCCCTCTCCCAATAACTTTTAAAAACATTATCACATGTATTACCGCTTAAACTTGCACGGTATCTCCCGAGGTGTCATCATCGTCTTCCATGATCGTGAATAGTTTCCGTAGTAATGGAAGAAAAATTATCATAGTCTACCGTGATTGCAGCCAAACCTATCACATCATCAGATAACAACATCATAAAAGCTTTTACTGCTAATTGGGCATTAATTGAGTACTGAGAAAATCGGCTCGAGCTTGATTTTCTGGCTTTATTTGCTTGATCTCTCAAGCTTGTAGGCCAGGCTCTGCTCGGCTCGAAAATCAACATTATATTAAACTCAACAACTCAACAGTTTCCAAAGGTAACCGATCTTGAACGGATCTCATTTGGCCCAAGGCCTATAAGTAAGTAACATTTTTTACCTGACTTCAAGTAAATAAATCTAAAGTGCAAAGTAAACTAATGTAAAGTGCAACCTCCTAATAGTAAGAAATGAAATGAAATGAAAATCCTTCTTTAGCATCAATGAAAGAATTTAAATATGTATTTGCTAGTACCCTAGCAACCTAGGTTAATTTGCCAATTTGATCGTAAAAAAGTTGTCAAGTTCATTTAGTTGAATTAGCATAGAGGGCCCTTTCTCCTTTCTGGTGTGGTGTGACCCGCCACCCGCCGGGGGCCACGTTGGTTCTATAAATACAGTACCGGTACGGCCCTATTTAGCGCCTTCACACAGTCCACGAGGACAATTGATGCAACCTGCATGACTGATGACAATTATTTTACTTTGGTTTGGTCACAGAAAACATACTACTATAACCCAGAATGCCAATTATAGTAGTATTATAGTATTGTTGTATTATAGTAGGGCTATAGTAGTGTAGCGTCAGCTGATGACGTTGTCATAGCAACCAATTATGATTTGATTAAGTCTGATTTTTGTTTTTCTCAGGATTGTACACAAAATTTAACTCTCTTATTAAACTACATTTCTTTTACTTAATTTGGTCGTATTTCATTTGATATACACAAACAACCACGACCAAAATGGTGACCCCGACTACAACCGTTATCTAAAGACTTATTTTCTTTGAAGAGTTTAAATCTTTTGTTTCCTCCTTCGAACGATGTCATTAGATAGTACCTACAGGATGTGTGTAGAATGGACTGGGATGACATGTGCAACTTTGTTACTAGGACCTGATGTTTCATTAGTCAGGGCCATTTATTGAAAGCCTAATGAAGAAGGACAGCTGGGTCCAGTTTCGAACTATTAAACAGCTACACACAATTCTCTGGATCGAACCGGCGACCTTTTGATTACTAGTCGAGCACTATAACGACTATAACCACTGAGCTACCCAGCTATTTAATATTACATAGGTTGGTTGCGTTGAAAACGCTGCGTCCCGAGTCTTCGATTACTCGTCCGCACTATCTCAATACGTACAACTCCTAGTTTTTTGCGTACGGAGGGAAAATATATTATGAATGCATGTCAAAGATTCATCAGAGTTCCTCGTCGTTAACCAGGACTATGAGCTTAGGTTGTACCACATAGGAGTAGACAGACACGTGTCTACTCTTTTAATCTATGGTTGTACTTAAATAGTTCTAGGATTATGTGTTTTGAGGATAACTTAGTTTAGTACAACCAAAAATAAATCAACATAGAATATAACCTAGTTATCAGGATCTCCTGTTAATAATTTTTTATGAAAATCATCAGATGATCTGACAAAACTTAGGAGCACTTGACGAGACTAAATAAAGTAAGAATTTCGTTACTAAACGATTAGTTAGATATTTTAAAACTCTTTACAGTCCATAGCATCGATCGTTAATAGAGTCAGAGTTGCTCATTGGGGTACCAATCAATGAATGCTATCTTCCAACAGTTCCTTTACAAGAAAATGAAAAAAAACATGCTTACAGTGTAGATAAATACCAATTCGTTAGACCAAGATTTCAACGGAAACACCTCTGCTTTCATACTCTTGATTTTTATAGCTAAGATTTTGGATCTCAAATTGACATTTCATTAAACGAATTTTTTAACCTTTCAGAAAATAAATATACGTCTAATCATCATTTTAACTGACTCGCTTTTCCTAATTGGTCCATGTGTTCCTAATTGGTTCGTTAAATCTGTGTCTTCTAAATTTTAAACGATTACAGTATTTAAAAATATGTTCAGCCAATAAATAGACGCCAGACCAAGATTTTTACCAGCACACTTTTGCGTTGATACTCACAAAAACCTCATACTCTATATCAGGTTTGGGTTTTGTTCTCTGTCACGTTGTGCATTGATGTTTTATGCGACTCATCGGAACGTGTTGAGTGTGAAGTGCAGTCAACGGCCGTCAGTGACCCGATGCCGGTGTTGTAGGACCGTTACCTCCAGCGACCAGTGTCCAGTGTGTGGTGAACAGTGACTAGCAGACATGTATCTACCACTACCAGCCGTGCTGAGTCTATCCCTGGGTCTCCTGTCTGTGGCCATATCAGCACCCTCCACATCCACCACCGCCGGCGAGAAAGACAAAGACAGCTCCGAGGAAAGCTATGAGGTACATCCTACAGTCTTTGTGTTACAATTTTTCTAATAAAAAAAAACTCGAAGCCAGAAAATTGTTTCCTCCACTGATGTTATAAACTGTTTAATCAGCTTAGGAATAATTTTATTAATATAGTGAAAAACGTATACAATTTCATTTAGTTTTTATGCATTTTTTGTCTTATATACAGTACATAGAAATGGTAACGAAATAATGCAGATAACAGTACCCCAAACGACAACTAATTAATTGTGACTATAATATTATACGAACGCTTTTATTGAATCATCACTAATTAATTGTTTGTTTACTTCTAATGTGATGTTATCTTTAGTGTATTTCGATTACATACTGAGCAACATCATTTCGATCTTGTTTACATTATTTTTGGTCGTCATCCTTAATACAACATATTACGGATACTAGAACAGAAACGGTATGGATCATAGAGCATAGACAAAAAGAAATACCATAAATATCAGTTTTTGACATTTAAATAAAGTACAGTAATTTTAATATTTCATCAAGAAAGCTTGGCGGCCGAAAAATATACATCCGTCTTAACCAAGTGAAAATAGGTCGACAATGAATGGTGGTGTATACTGATCTTTATCTAGCACTATTTTGAAATTATGGCCTTAGTTTGTAAATGCACAATGTTAAAATGGGCTAAAAATAAAGTTATAAAAAGCTCTTAAAATTTTTAGAATGGATCAAGGTTTTTTAAACGTATTGCAGCATCGTATTCAGCGTAAAATTCTAGTTTGAAACGATGGGTCACAACTCTACCTTTACATTTGAAAAAGTAACTTTGTATCCAATATGGCAGATCCAAGATGGCGGCCAAAAATGTATACCCAGTCAAAATGAAGTAGTTACTACTCTACAATGGTCTGACGTGGTCCGGAGTGAAATGTAGAAAAAGTAGGGCGGAGTCATTTAAACCTCACTCTGTATATCTGTGTGTCCGATAACTCGTAACTGGAGTAATTTTGGTCCAAGTTAGGTGAAATTTTGCATGAATGTGTAGACTTTGATAAACTCGATTGAGTACGCGAACCAGAAAACTTAGTAAATAGGAACAAGTGTTATAGAATTTTACAATTGTTTAAACATGGTGTTTTCAAACTTTTACCCTTAAAACATAGAAATGCCCAACGTTTGTTACATCCATCGTTTAGAGTTCAAAAAAACAAACAATTTTGTAAATTGAAGAACTGTGTTGTACCTTTAAAGGCTAATGAGAAAACTCCAAAAATCTATATATTTAAAGTTCCTATGTTATTCTCATGGAGAAAAGTTTTATTAAAATAGGGAATACATTGTTTTATGGAGTTTTAGTAAAAGTCCTTTCAGGGAAATTGAAACTCACTTACTCTGCAAGTTTGCTGCGGCGGGGTAATTTGTATTACAATAGTGCTGGTCTGCTGGATATGTGCCTCATGTTCAGAACTTTAGACTCGTTGAACCAGCGATTTTTTATCGATATAATAGTGCAGTATGGCTTCTATCATTGTACACGTTTAAAATTGCTCTAAAAATATGCTAAATTGTGTGCATTGCAGTGGAAGTCAAAAGACACAGTACCTTTCATTATTTTCAAGTTGAGGGCAGGGATGAGGACTTCATTTACCCAGTCATGTCAACATTGTAATTGTTTAGTTGGCTGATCTAATTCTGTGGTAGGTATAACACTTTTAAGATTACTCCAGCACTGCCCCATACCGATAAATAAACTAACTCTAAGATAAGTGTAAAACATACGAGGCTTAAATAAATTTCGTATGCAAATTCCATGATATCATTGGACACTTTACGTGGAGTTATAAGGGCTGAATTGCGTTTGGGAATTTTATAGAGACTACTTGATAGGAGTAGATGCCCGTTACCACGTTAAAGCTGCTGTAGGCCTAGCTGTTTTACTATGATACTGACCAGTGGCCGTAGTTCAATTAATTAAGCCACTAACATAGTGTGCTGATTATTAGTTTTTAAAATACGGAAACTTTTTCACAAAGCCAATTTAAAAGGTTATATTTTAAAAATGATAGCATTTGTTTATGGTTGATGATCTGATTATGGTGGTAGGTAGTGTACGACCAGCGGCAGAACGGCACAGACAATCTGCGAGTGTCGGTAGAGGACGTGATGGTAGTGGTAGCGCCGTCGGAAGGTCTCATGCAGGCAGGGGGCAGCGCCCTCAACTCTCTGGCTCTGGGCGTCGTAGGCGCCGCCATGCTGGACCGTGTCAAGACTCCTGATTGTGGGGCTGAGGGAGGTCGCTGCAAGTCCGCGCCTGGAAACTCCCAGAGGTAAGCTGTAGTCCGATAGATCAGAATCCCACCATGCCGAATACAAAATAAATCCCATATCACCGAATCAAGTAGCTCCAAGTTCGTTCGGTGCTGTAAGGCTGTTTAATACATTTTAAACATGTTTTCAAGCTGTGGAATTTCACCCAAATAATTCGATACATTAACATTCCAAAACCTCACTTAATCACTTACCACTAACGCTATATTCTATACGGTACTGAATTTACAAAAATTACACACGCGCGGTCACTTGTATCAAGACCGGGTCGATCGCGTCCAAAACGTGACGAAGGATCGCTTCGTTTCTTGGAGTCATGAAGTCATCTGTACGCAAAGGATTATCTGAAGCGTTTTACAACGCCCCCATGTGGTACCGGGTCAGCACTTGTCAAGAAATCGCAGCACAGTTTATTTTATGTTGGAGACAAGCAGTTAAAGTTTTGTTTTGAAAATAAAAATCCTTTATCAAAGGTGTATTGGTGACCAATGTATCCTATTGCCATCTGTAGTACAACTGTGGCTTTGCGTATGTGTATACCATATGTTATCTATTATGAATGTTTGCAGGTCCCGGCTGAGGCTATCTAACTTGCTGCAGCCGCTGTTCAACAGAGTGCAGCATCACTGACGCAGCTGACTCGTCTGACGTCATCCTGAACACACCGTACCTAGCTGCTGACTTGAGAGATGGCATTACGCCCGTTGTTCGGACTGTACTACGCACTCCAGCAAGGCAGTTAAATTGAATTGACAACGACTTTTGATTTACCCACCTCCTTCAGCTTTAATTTATGTATTTATTGTACTTGCCAAATAAAACTGTTTGTTAAACGCACTTTGATCACTGTGTTTTCTTAGTCATTTATAGGGTTTTGTTATTGAGACATTTAGTTATTATATATACTGTATATATATTCAAATAATATAAAGCTACTTAATTAAGGCCATGATTGTACGAGGAAAATACTGGTTATAATATCCCGCAAACCGTATACTAAAAATCTATCAAAGACGGCCAAATCTTATTCAATATTTGTATAAAAAATGTTTCCATCAATATTTTCATCGAACAGAAATCCATTTTAACATGGATGAAACACACATTTTGTTCTTTAAATTTGAGTTCCCAAAATTTCTTTTTAAATCACAAGTCCATTTAGTATTGAAACCTGTCTGTAATAATATGTCTATTCTTATACCAGTTTAACTAATTCACATCGTATACTTAATGTTATTTTCATAGGAAAATCTTTTTTACCTGACAACATTGGCATTTCTGTCACCAACTCAGTACACTATATTAAAACACAGCAGTACTCAGCAAATATTATGATACCATTATCATTATCATTTACAAAAGTTTTATTTAGAACCGAGGATGGATCCGGTCCTCTGATCCAATTGTAACAGAATTCCAACAAAATTGCCAAATGATTCGAACATGCTTGTAATATTTAAACGACCTTTATTAAATACTTAACAGACAATACATCTTCCTTCCCGTTATAATTTCAACTGTTTTGCCATGGAATAATAAAACAAACATTGTTAACGTATTTATATATTTAAACAGAAAACAAGGTGGAGTCAACAATTAATGGGTTTGATAATCACAGACGGGTAATATGGAATGTTACGAAGAGAGTTCAGCGTGGACCCTCAGTCCCCTTGAGGAAGTACGGCAGAAGCAGCAACATGCGCTCCGACAAACTGAAACAGTTGTACTTAAGGTAAGATTATTTAAATAATTTCATTCATAGAAGTTAAAAAGGCAAAACTGTAAAATAACGGGGCTACTATTACGGTACTTACAGAGTATTTTAACATATTTGGCTATGACTGTCTGCGTTTACTATTATTTTACTAGTAGTCATTATTTTCGAAGCTCAAGCCTATGAAAATATTTACCATCCATTTTATGTATGAATAAAATATATTTACGTTTAATAATAATATAATAAAACATAATATAAAATTAATATTAATAAAATATGCGTCGTCACAATTAAAAATTCCTCTCATCCCATACCATAGCATACAATTGTATAGAATTATATAGAATTCTTCTACAGGCTGTAGAATTATATAGAAAGAATAAATGTAGAATTACATTTATTTATAAACATCGAAATAAAACAACTAGTATATGTATTGGCAAATAACCCAAGATTTTGCAAAAAAAGTTGCAATACCACTATATTACTATGGTTGAAGAGCAACAGCTTTTGGACGTAACTCTTGCCATGCAAACGAAATACAATCAACTTAACGATCCAATAACTTTGGTAGAATTGGAAAAACTACTTTAAAGCCTTGGAATTCTTTTTGTTTGTGAGCGTGGTCTTTCAATCTCGCCAATTCATCAATGGCAATTTTGTTTTCTCCTAACTAATCTACGTCTTTCCAGGGAAGAACAAATCACTTTAAACCACGCGTGAATTATTAATTTACTCTGCCTATCTACACATTCTGTAGTTTATCTGTGTAGGCTAGAATATTCTAAAATACGGTTGTTGGTGTAGAATACTCTAAAACACGGTTACAATTACAAACAAGTTGTCCAAAAAATAGTTTTTGCAGATGTCACAGGAGTATTGCAGTCCAAATGCCATACAAAGCGAGGTGAGTATTTATTTTTCAACCAAGATCAACAACTGCTGGATACATGCTGGCAATCTGTAAGGCAATAGCAACGTGGTATTATAGTTTTAGACTGGGACGGGTGGCGTCGTCCTGTAATCCAACTACTAGGAGGTCACGAATTGTGGATATTTATAGGCATGCACTGTGGATGCGATACTCCCTGGTGTGGATTAACGTCCGCACGGGTGAGGACTACGACTATCCGCAGTACTATCCTGATAATTAGACCAATTCGTATATACCAAAGACAAAAATGTGGTTCGGATTCCACTATAAACTGTAGGTCCCTTAGTCGCAATTAGCTGTATGGGCTATTAATTAACAGCGGTGTCTAAGGAATGTGTCGGCCTTAGTCACTAACAAGATTACAAGATCACGCCACTCATCCTACACTCATCTTCATACTTGGCTTAAAATACCTACTTTGTATGGTCGCCATTTTAAAGAAAAGTATTAGGTAAAGTATTAAAGTACTAGATGTAACACAATACTAGAATGTAACAGTAATTCGCATTCCCTATATGACTAAGTTTTATACGATACATTGATTGATAGGAAAGTTATATTTAGATTATAATGTTTCATTTCGTACGTTTCCGCTTTAAATAAATCTTTACCTGTATGCTTGCCTTACCAGTAACAACATTATTAATCACATAAAACATCCAATGATAATGTTTCATTAGTCTTCTCCTTCATCAATTTAGGATAACCTAGATTTTGTTATTGCTCCTTTGACCTTGTTTGTACTCGTAGGATCACTGACAGCCTGCAGTATTCTCTCCAAACTATTGTGCCTGTCATCCAGCTGATGGGGAGAAATTGCGCGGGAGAAAGCTGCGGGCGAATAAAGGGATACGAATTTCACTCAAAGAATGGATTTATCTTGTGATAAAACTTATAACATTTTATAAAATACCAATGGACCACCTATTTATTCATCTAAAATAATCTGCGAGTGACAATTTGATGTAAATAGTCAATAGTCAATAAGCAATTCATTTGAATTTTTAATGTTATTTGAAGATAAAAAAGACCTCCTGAAGATGCCACACAAGCTTACGAAATGTACATTTGGCGAATACAAACCTTTCCCTCAAGAACGAATGTAAAACAACAGGCACTTGGAATTAATCCTTTTTTTGTAAGAAATCCTTTTTACTTTAATACTTTTAACTGAAATGGCGACCATACGAAGGTAGGTATTTTAAGCCAAGTATGAATGGAGATGAGTGTAAGATGAGTGGCGCGATCTTGTAGTCTTGTTACTGACTAAGGCCGACATGCTCCTTGGACATGACTGTTAATTAATAGCCCATACAGCCAATAGCAAGTAAGGGACCTACTGGCAATGGCAATGGCAGTGGCTTGTAATTTATGTATTGGTCTAATTATCAGAATAGTACTGCGGATAGTTGTAGCACTCAAGAGTGCGGACTTTAATCCACACAGGGAGTATTGCATCCACAAATCATACCTTTAAATTAAAATTATAATAAATTTTATAATTTTATGTTAAAGTGTGGATTGGTTGAGTTAATGTACGACATGTATAATTATTTTAAACACAACTGTTAAAATTTCTATCAGAAACACAATTAGACTAGGCCTATGACTGTCAGTACTGTAAATCTTTCAGTAAACTAGAAATTTAAATAACCCGTAATATCTCGATGTTTTACTTAGGGACATAGTGGTCAACAACATGTACAGGGAGCGAGCGACCCTTCTAGAGTAACTATTATAGCCATAACAATTTGTTGTGTATGATAAAATAATTTCAATGTTTGTTAAAGTGAAAAGTTAAAACTTTAGAGCTTTGTTGTAGAATAGAAATACGCTAGGCATATACATTGGGGAACAAAGTTGTAAAAATGTTACATTTGTATGAAATTTTTGTATAATTATACATGCAATTATACTCTTGAACTATTTAAATACATTACTTCCCTCTAACCTAACCTTTTACTGGACATGACGATATCCTTGCAGTCCCGTAGCTGAACACTGTACTCTGAGCCCACCGGACACTTGGAGCCTCGGGGTGTGTGAGGGTCGTCGACGATGTTGTCAGTTTCTGAACCTAGGCAGTACTTGAAGAAGAGGAATATTACGACGCTGAGGAGCAGAACGGAGAGGGCGGTGTGATCGGACATCCTCCGGGGCACGAAGGGAGTGTGGGACCTTCCTCGGAGGTCGTAAAGATGATAAAGAAGGATACTGTCTGATAAGAAACTGAATATTGTGTGTGGTCCAGTCGAGCCTGTAGATGTGTACTGTGTACGTGCTGACTGAAGTCGTACCCCTCCTCACTCCTTCTACCAGAGAAAGTGTGATGCGGACAGGGTCTCTCATGAAGGGAAGTCACTGTTGTGCTTGACCTTCCGTCGTGAACTTGACACGGAAACTGTATTTGGATCTTTTGTCATACTACCTGGTTTGTCAATGACTTCAGAATCTGGATTTGAACGACGCAGTTAGGAATCAGAGACACCTATAATGTATTTTAATCTAAAATTTCTCGAGTAGTATATCTTAAACTGTATTTTTTATACAGTTTATTTACAGAAAATATGTTTATAAATTAACGTAAGTAGCCTTCTTATCTCTCAAACATTTTATTTTATTAATCACACCAAATATTTAATCTTTTTATCGAAATTCTTATCTAAACTTCAACCCTTAGTGCCACCGTACACAAAATAGACACGAAAAACGAGCTTCGAAATGTACAATGGGATGAGGAGTCGACTTGTATTGGTTAGTATATGGTTTTATTCACCCAATAACTGTCTCAAACAAACATAATATGTGAAATGTAAACTGGTATGCATTATTCGCAGAATTTGCATTAAATGCGCGATTAGCAATTTATGGGTCCCCTCGTAATTTTTAAATTTGTTTATAAGTTAGGCCTATGAACGGCATTGTTAACAATAACTGTACCATCAATAACGTCAGAAATAATCCGAATTTCAAAAATCCGGTGAAAGGTATTACTGTATAATACTGTGAATGTGCTTGATATCCATATTACCCCAACCTATATTTTAATAAACTTTGTTAGGTAGTTTTCATTACAATACTTTTCATTTTTTATCTATATCTGATACGAATACAAAATCCATAATTTATATTATAATGGATTATTAACTATTATTATAATGGCTATCTGAGTAAATCCCG